AAAAAAATATGTTGATAAGGAAAAGGCTAAATCTTGGGCATCAGCAAAAATCACTATAGAGAATAAATGGTTAGAAATATTTCATCATTTTGAAACAAACCATGTTCCTTACAATAATGCACTAAAAACTGTGGGATACGCGCTGTCCTTACCAGGAACTAATGCTGCAACTGAACACATTTTTTCTATGGTAAATAAAGTTGGACATCAGAAAAATTACAATTAAGTGTTGAGACTTTAAAAGCCATTTCATGTGTGAAATATAATTTAACAAATTCTTGTGAAAAATGTCATGACCTTTTAAACAACAACAGAAATCTACTAAAAAAAATTCACTCAAATGAGAAATATGCCAAAGAATAAAATAATACTATACATAATTTTTAAATGTATTATATTTATAAATTGTACTTATCTTGAAATTTAAAAATATACATTACAATACTATTTTTGCATTCTATGAAAATTTTTATTGCTCCAAATAGACCAAATTTTTAATTAAGTACCCCCTCCCAGGTCAATGGTGTCCGGCTTTACCAGTGTTAAAATCTGGTCACCTTAGACTAGAGAGCCTTGTATGGGGCTGTGGAAAGCTGTCTGGGGACTTCGAAACCTGTCTGGGGCCAAGCCACTGGAGGCAATTTTTCCATGATAGGGCTGATGGGATAGGAGGCAGAGTTCAGGCAGCCACGCCAGTGATGAGGAGTGGCTGTAAACACAGATGAAGCTTCACTTGCTCGTCCACCATTCACCTCCTGCTGTGTGGCATGGTTCCTGACAGGCCACAGACTGGACTGGTAAAGCCTGCAGCTCAGGAATTGAGGACCACAGTGTTAAACAATAACTCCCTATTCCCCCAGCCCTTGGCAACCACCATACTATTTCCTGTTCTTAGGAACCTGACTACACTAGTGGCCGTTTCTCTTACAAAGAAAAGGAATTTATAGGCCAGGCATGGTGGCTCACACCTATAATCCTAGCCCTCTGGGAGGCCGAAGTGGATGGATTGCCTGAGCTCAGGAATTTGAGACCAGCCTGAGCAAGAGAGACCTTGTCTCTACTAAAAATAGAAAAACTAGCTGGGCGTTGTTGTGGGCATTTATAGTCCTAGCTATTTGGAAAGCTGAGGCAAGAGGATCACTTGAACCTAGAAGTTTGAGATTGCTGTGAGCTCTGATGCCACAGCACTCTAGCCTAGGGTGACAGAATGAGATTGTGTCTCAAAAAAAAAAAAATGGAAGGAAGGAAGGAAG